ACATAAACTGTATATATACAATGTCACATTTCTGTCTATAAATGAATCACATAGACTGTATATATACAATGTCACATTTCTGTTTATAAATGAATCACATAGACTGTATATGTACAATGTCACATTTCTGTTTATAAATGAATCACATAGACTGTATATATACAATGTCACATTTCTGTTTATAAATGAATCACATAGACTGTATATATACAATGTCACATTTGTTTATAAATGAATCACATAAACTGTATATGTACAATGTCACATTTCTGTTTATAAATGAATCACATAAACTGTATATATACAATGTCACATTTCTGTCTATAAATGAATCACATAGACTGTATATATACAATGTCACATTTCTGTTTATAAATGAATCACATAGACTGTATATGTACAATGTCACATTTCTGTTTATAAATGAATCACATAAACTGTATATATACAATGTCACATTTCTGTCTATAAATGAATCACATAGACTGTATATATACAATGTCACATTTCTGTTTATAAATGAATCACATAGACTGTATATGTACAATGTCACATTTCTGTTTATAAATGAATCACATAGACTATATGTATACAATGTCACATTTGTTTATAAATGAATCACATAAACTGTATATGTACAATGTCACATTTCTGTTTATAAATGAATCACATAGACTGTATGTATACAATGTCACATTTCTGTTTATAAATGAATCACATAGACTGTATATGTACAATGTCACATTTCTGTTTATAAATTAATCACATAAACTGTATATATACAATGTCACATTTCTGTTTATAAATGAATCACATAGACTGTATATGTACAATGTCACATTTCTGTTTATAAATTAATCACATAAACTGTATATATACAATGTCACATTTCTGTCTATAAATGAATCACATAGACTGTATATATACAATGTCACATTTCTGTTTATAAATGAATCACATAGACTGTATATGTACAATGTCACATTTCTGTTTATAAATGAATCACATAGACTGTATATATACAATGTCACATTTCTGTTTATAAATGAATCACATAGACTGTATATGTACAATGTCACATTTCGGTCTATAAATGAATCACATAGACTGTATGTATACAATGTCACATTTCTGTTTATAAATGAATCACATAGACTGTATGTATACAATGTCACATTTCTGTTTATAAATGAATCACATAGACTGTATATGTACAATGTCACATTTCTGTTTATAAATGAATCACATAGACTGTATATATACAATGTCATATTTCTGTTTATAAATGAATCACATAGACTGTATATGTACAATGTCACATTTCTGTCTATAAATGAATCACATAGACTGTATGTATACAATGTCACATTTGTTTATAAATGAATCACATAAACTGTATATGTACAATGTCACATTTCTGTTTATAAATGAATCACATAGACTGTATGTATAGAATGTCACATTTGTTTATAAATGAATCACATAAACTGTATATGTACAATGTCACATTTCTGTTTATAAATGAATCACATAAACTGTATATATACAATGTCACATTTCTGTCTATAAATGAATCACATAGACTGTATATATACAATGTCACATTTCTGTTTATAAATGAATCACATAGACTGTATATATACAATGTCACATTTCTGTTTATAAATGAATCACATAGACTGTATATGTACAATGTCACATTTCTGTTTATAAATGAATCACATAGACTGTATGTATACAATGTCACATTTGTTTATAAATGAATCACATAAACTGTATATGTACAATGTCACATTTCTGTTTATAAATGAATCACATAGACTGTATATGTACAATGTCACATTTCTGTTTATAAATGAATCACATAGACTGTATATGTACAATGTCACATTTCTGTTTATAAATGAATCACATAGACTGTATATATACAATGTCACATTTCTGACTATTACTATTTCACAAGAACGTACATACATTGTCACATGTCTTTCTATACCTGATTTACAATGACTGTGTATATACAATGACACATTTCTGCTTTCTTTTACTTTTACTTCCAAATATAATATCATGCAGAAGTCAGTCCGACTGGTGTTATGAAGCTTATCTGGTTACCTTTAAGTATTTAGCGTTCGTTTGTTTTACTGTATGCAGAAAACGATAAAGATGTTTCATGCCATGCAAAACAGAAGCAGCCATATTTCACCATTTCATTAATGCCACCCACCAGAAACAGGCATCATGAACCATTTAACCTCACCAAATCATATGACAACCGACGTTACCAATTCAATAACAAAATCATTTTGCAACCATGTTTAATGAGGTATTAAGTCCTATACTTCTAAGTGTCCATTAATCAAACAAAACGCTCGATGTACAGAAAACAGAAGCGGTCCCTGACATATCAAGAATGCCACAATAGTTTTCCACCAGTGACATGTACAGGCAGCTGTTTGTTTGTTTGTTTGTTTGTTTGTGTGTTTGTATGTGTGTTTGTTTGTTTGTTGCTTTACGCCGCACTCAGCAATATTCTAGGTATATGACGGCAGTCAGTAAATAATCGAGTCTGGACCAGACAATCCAGTGATTGACATCATGAGCATCGATCAATGCCATTGGGACCGATGACATGCATCAACCAAGTCAGCGAGCCTGACCACCCGATCCCGTTAGTCGCCTTTTACGACAAGCATAGTCGCCTGTTACGGCAAGCATGGGTTGCTGAAGAGCTATTCTACCCCGGGTCTACAATCAGCTGACCTCGCCTAATGATCAAAATATACTAGTATTCATAACAATCACACACAAAGATGTTATATTACATTTCAGCACACTTTGTATATCTTGTAGATGTCATCGCAAACAACAAAAGGTGTTACCTCCTTTGTAATTTAACAGTTCCTATGTAATTCTACTCATCATACAAGCAACACTACATTTCACGTACATATTGTGAGCATGACATTGCAAAGATAATAAGCAGTTCACATAATTCTACTCATCACAATGATATTCCAAGAAATATTATGAAATCAAAGATGATTTCATGTTTACATTATTCTTTCGTAATTCTCACTATATAGATAAACTCTTCTGATTATAGTGGCATCAATTATACATTTTGCTAACTGAAAGGGTTCATCTAAGAAAGCTTTAACGCATTTTTGTCCACAACTGGTAGCAGTGGAAGTCTTCCAAGGGAAAGCTTTGGTTCTAATGCTACCAATTAAAGGACAAGTTACATTAAAATAACATGCTTTCAATCTTCAAAGTTTCTTGACTTTTGCAGTATCGCCTTGCTTTCTCAATCTTCCTCCATCTTCCAATTTCTGTTCATATCTTATGGTTAGAACATCTGAACCACGCTAAGCCTGCTCTTTGTAAAGAATAATGATGAATAAAAATGGTTCGATACCCCAATGATATATTGTCTAAAAGTAATCTTTACAGTCCGAATCTGACCTGCACCTCCGACAAACTTACAGGCAACAGCATAATAACTTGTAGAAACAGTATATACCATAAAGTGAAACATAAACTAAATATAAAATTGTTTGTAATTAATACCATATACTAACACCATTTATGCTCATGTTATGTACAATGTACCTCATCATCACTGTTGTCCATCCATTTACTCCGCGATGACTAAGGTCAAATAATTGTAGTAGATATTCAACAATGGACCTGTTGCAAACTTCCACGCCTATTTCCACTTTCACAACACGCCAGATAAAGTACAGTGACACTGTAGGCATCGGTCAGTGTAATGTCGACTCCCTTTGACACAAATAAGTCGAAAACATCCTTCTTTGCACGGAAAGCTGCCAGTAATACTGCTATGCAGCCACCTTGTACCCGAGGGTTAATGTCAAATAATGACATTAGATATTCCACAATGGACCTATTTCCTACCTTTACATACCAGATGAAATATAGTGTCATTGTGGTCATCACTCATTGTGACATCTGCCTCCTTTGACACAAACAAGTCGAAAACTTCCTTCTGTGCAGAGACAGCTGCCTTATTCATTGCTGTCCAGTCGTGTATAGATGCTTGACGGTGAACCTTTCATCACAAGGGATACACTTAGGAGGTTCGTCCTCATCTGTCTTTAGCAGATATTCGTGTCAGTGTGAGATCAGCTCGCTTTGACACAAGATACGCTTTGTAACAACGAGTTGTAAGATCAATGGTATCTGACATGCACGAGTGCAGTAATCTGTTGCTTACACACCCTAAAATCGCACCTTTCAGCATCGAGCCGATGAATTTTGTCTATTCTCATTATTGCACTAGCGCATTAACACCACCGTCATAAGTGACGACATCTTGTGTGCTGCTTACTACTCATAAATAATGTGACTCTACACAAAAAGGTTTCCGTCATATCTGTGGATTATCAAGGCGATGATAAAAATGCAAACTAGACAAAAACAAAGAACACACTGGGTGCCAAGGTGAAAGTTTACACCTCAAAGAAATTACCAAATGTGTACATCAATGTTTACTTCCGTATGACATCACTACCGGTGACCGACTTTTATAAAAAGGCGTATTCACTGTAAACAGCACGCGGGATTTCCAGAGGAGGATTTTCACATACCCATAAATGTGTCACGTAAGTAATCAGAAACATTCTGACAATCTGCGTATTTCACAATAAACGTATTTCCACCTTCACATGCCAGATGAAAAACAGTGTTATTGTTTTCATCTGTGAATGTGAGATCAGCTCCCTTTGACACCAACAAATCGAACACATCCTTCTGTGCATTGACCGCTGCAATCATAACTGCTGTCGACGCATTTTTCCCCCGACAATCAATGTCAAATAAGGGCAGTAGATGTTCTACAATGGACCTATTTCCACCTTTACATGCAAGATGAAGTACGGTGTCATTTTTGTCATCAGTCACTGTGAGATCAGCTCCCTTTGACTCAAGCAGGTCGAAAGTATCCTTCTTTGCACAGAAAGCTGCATTCATCAGTGTCCTCAACTATCAATGTCAAATAAGGGCAACATATGTTCTACAATGGACCAACTTACACCTTGACATGCAAGATGAAATACAGTGTTATTGCGGTCATCTTTCAGTGCCAGATCAGCTCCCTCTGACACAAGCAGGTCGAAAACATCCTTCTTTCCACAGAAAGCTGCATTCATCACTGCTGTCCAGCCATCTTGTCCCCGACTATCAATGTCAAATAATGGCAGTAGGTGTTCCACAATGTACCTGTTTCCACCTTTACATGCAAGATGAAATACAGTGTTATTGTTTTTATCTGTCAATGTGAGATCAGCTCCCTTTGACACAAGCAGGTCGAACACATCCCTCTGAGCACAGTAAGCTGCAATCATCACTGTTGTCCTGCCACGTGGACCCCGTCTATCAATGTCAAATAAGGGCAGTAGATATTCGACAATGGACCTATTTCCACCTTTACATGCAAGATGAAATACCATGTTATTTTGTTTATCTGTGAATGTGAGATCAGCTCCCTGTGACACTAGCAGGTCGAACACATCCCTCTGAGCACAGTCAGCTGCAATCATCACTGCTGTCCTGCCACGCGGACCCCGTCTATCAATGTCAAATAAGGGCAGTAGATATTCGACAATGGACCTATATCCACTTTTACATGCAAGATGAAGTACAGTGTCATTGTAGTCATCTTTCAGTGTCAGATCAGCCCCCTTTGACACCAACAGGTCGAAGATATCCTTCTGTGCATTGACCGCTGCAATCATTAATGCTGTCCAGCCATTTATTCCCCGACAATCTATGTCAAATAAGGGCAGTAGATGTTCTACAATGAACCTGTTTCCACCTTCACACGCCAGATGAAGTACAGTGTTATTGTAGTTATCTGTCAGTGTGAGATCAGCTCCTTTTGACACAAGCAGGTCGAAAACATCCTTCTTTGCACAGAAAGCTGCATTCATCAGTGCTGTAAAGCTATATTGTCCCCGACAATCTATGTCAAACAATGGCAGTAGATGTTCTACAATGGACCTTTTTCCACCTTGACATGCAAGATGAAATACAGTGTCATTGTTGTCACTTGTCACTCTGAGATCAGCTCCCTTTGACACCAACAGGTCGAAAACATCCTTCTGAGCACAGACAGCTGCATTCATCACTGCTTTCCAGACATTTTGTCCCCGACAATCAATGTCAAACAATGGCAGTAGATGTTCTACTATGGACCTATTTCCACCTTTACATGCCAGATGAAATACAGTATTATTGTTTTCAGCTGTGAACGTGAGATCAGCTCCCTTTGACACAAGCAGGTCGAAAACATCCTTCTTTGCACAGAAAGCTGCATTCATCACTGCTGTCCAGCCATTTTGTCCCCGACAATCAATGTCAAATAAGGGCAGTAGATGTTCTACAATGGACCTATTTCCACCTTGACATGCGAGATGAAATACAGTGTTATTCTTTTCATCTGTGAATGTGAGATCAGCTCCCTTTGACACAAGCAGGTCGAAAACATCCTTCTTTGCACAGAAAGCTGCATTCATCACTGCTGTCCAGACATTTTGTCCCCGACAATCAATGTCAAACAATGGCAGTAGATGTTCTACAATGGACCTATTTCCACCTTGACATGCAAGATGAAATACAGTGTCATTGTTTTCATCTGTGAATGTGAGATCAGCTCCCTTTGACACAAGCAGGTCGAAAACATCCTTCTTTGCACAGAAAGCTGCATTCATCACTGCTGTCCAGACATTTTGTCCCCGACAATCAATGTCAAACAATGGCAGTAGATGTTCTACTATGGACCTATTTCCACCTTTACATGCCAGATGAAATACAGTATTATTGTTTTCAGCTGTGAACGTGAGATCAGCTCCCTTTGACACAAGCAGGTCGAAAACATCCTTCTTTGCACAGAGAGCTGCATTCATCACTGCTGTCCAGCCATTTTGTCCCCGACAATCAATGTCAAATAAGGGCAGTAGATGTTCTACAATGGACCTATTTCCACCTTGACATGCGAGATGAAATACAGTGTTATTCTTTTCATCTGTGAATGTGAGATCAGCTCCCTTTGACACAAGCAGGTCGAAAACATCCTTCTTTGCACAGAAAGCTGCATTCATCACTGCTGTCCAGCCATTTTGTCCCCGACAATAAATGTCAAACAATGGCAGTAGATGTTCTACAATGGACCTATTTCCACCTTGACATGCAAGATGAAATACAGTGTCATTGTTTTCATCTGTGAATGTGAGATCAGCTCCCTTTGACACAAGCAGGTCGAAAACATCCTTCTTTGCACAGACAGCTGCATTCATCACTGCTGTCCAGACATTTTGTCCCCGACAATCAATGTCAAACAATGGCAGTAGATGTTCTACAATGGACCTATTTCCACCTTTACATGCAAGATGAAATACAGTATTATTGTTTTCATCTGTGAATGTGAGATCAGCTCCCTTTGACACAAGCAGGTCGAAAACATCCTTCTTTGCACAGACAGCTGCATTCATCACTGCTGTCCAGCCATTTTGTCCCCGACAATCAATGTCAAACAATGGCAGTAGATGTTCTACAATGGACCTATTTCCACCTTGACATGCAAGATGAAATACAGTGTTATTGCGGTCATCTTTCAGTGCCAGATCAGCTCCCTTGACACAAGCAGGTCGAAAACATCCTTCTTTGCGAAGAAAGCTGCATTCATCACTGCTGTCCAGACATTTTGTCCCCGACTATCAATGTCAAATAAAGGCAGTAGATGTTCTACAATGGACCTATTTCCACCTTGACATGCCAAAGGAAGTACAGTGTTATTGCGGTCATCTTTCAGTGCCAGATCAGCTCCCTTTGACACAAGCAGGTCGAAAACATCCTTCTTTGCACAGAAAGCTGCATTCATCACTGCTGTCCAGCCATTTTGTCCCTGACTATCAATGTCAAATGATGGCAGTAGGTGTTCCAAAATGTACCTGTTTCCACCTTTACATGCAAGATGAAATACAGTGTTATTGTTTTCAGCTGGCAGTCTGAGATCAGCTCCTTTTGACACAAGCAGGTCGTAAACATCCTTCTTTGCACAGGCAGCTGCAATCATTACTCCTGTCCAGCCAAGAGGGCCCCGAATATTAAAAAATGGCAGTAGATGTTCTGCATGACATGGCAGTTGTGTGTCATCGTAGTTATCTATCAGTGTGATGTCAACTCCATGTGACTGAAACAGATTGGACACGTCATTGTACCCGTGTGAACATGCATACATGGAAAATGTGTTGCCTGTAAAATCTCTTGCATTTATGTCAGCTATAGGCAGGAATAATTTTAGACGTTGTACATCTCCTGTTGTACAGGCATGTCGTAAAGCTGCGTCAGCCGCTATCTGAAAGTCGAAGTCTCCAGACAGTTCTGTGATAGGTAATCCTTTCAAGACGAAATTCAAAACTTCTCTTCCAAGTTGATTGTACCCTTTTGTGTTCACAATTTGAAAGACATTTTCTTCATCATGATTTGTTGATTTAAAGACATCAGCTCCAAGTTCAAGTAAGGCTGATACAACCCCCTTATAGTTGTGTTCTGTGGCAATCACTAGAGCTTTATTGAGCACACTTTGATGCAACCATCTCCTATAGTTAGAAGATAAAAGCAACAACACTGATTCGTTCCCACAAGAAGCACAGGCCTCAAAGGCTTCGATGATCTCTTCGTCTGAAAAATGGTATCCAACTTCAATGATTCGCTCAACCAAGTACAGACTCTGTGCATGAACTGCCCAGAAAAGTAAGTGCTTCTCTTCTTCCTTTGCATGTAACATTTGGAGACGTTTATTGTCTTCTGTATTTAGCCAACGTTCCCATGTATTTGATTTTCTCAGTTTAAGCTTCTGGAACACTTTGTCAACTATTTGTTCTTTCTTCAAGATAGGATGTGTAATAGACATACTGTAGTTGCCTTTGGCGATAGCCTCGGCCAGTCTGGAGGCGATTGCGTCATTGTAGACACTCGAGACGAAGATGATGTGCAGGTGATTATCTATTGCGGTGGACTCGACTTGCTGTGGTTGTACACGCTCATAAAGGAATCTTATACTGCAGTGTTTCAGGACAAAGGACGGATTCATATTAAATAGGGCACACGCACAGGCATCATAAATAGTAGGATGTGAAAATCCAATGATATCTCCCTCCGTGAAAAATGTACCTCTGTAACATCTTGCTGCTTCCGCGACTGCAGTCCGTGAAGTAATTGTCACCACACTATTTACAGCCTGCAAATGAGCTTCCAAAATTTCATTTTCAGATTCCATTTCCACCTGGCTCAAGTTCAGATTATTTTCACACAGCAGCATCAGGATGAAGGCGGCTGACTGGTTATTTTTGCGTTTCATAATTGTCTTAAGTTCTCTCCGAAGATAAAATAAAGGTTCTCGAAAGAACTCTGCAGGTTGTTTTTGAAAACTTCGAAATTCGCAAAACAGTGTGCATGTTAAGGGGAACCCAAACAAAGCATATGTGTCACATAGCTCACCAATATCGAGGTCCAAACTGACGTTATGGTAATCTAGTTGTTTCTGGAGTATTTTCTTTCTTTCCTCGTGACTGTAATGACATGTTTCCATCTTTGTAAAATCGAGAACCGACTGACCTGAGAAAAAGTAAAACTCTTGGCCGTCCAGCTCTGCAATTCCAGCTTCCAAGTTATATGATTTGGTGGTGAAAATAACACGGATAAATGAGTCAGTGGTTGGTCTAGTTTCCGGTAGGTCACCCTTGGTAGATTTACCATCCTGTAAATAATGTTTCAGGTTTTGTAAAATGGACTTAAGATGTGGCACATCAGTTGATAAGCCAACTGTTCCATATATATCATCTAGTATCAAACACACTTTCTTTCCACGCAGTTCACAGTTCTCAAGGTTGAATTTGTCCACATCATCAACAAATACCAGTTCATATCCATGTTTTCTGAGATCTGCTCCTACCATTAAAGCAATGGAAGTTTTCCCTTCACCAGAAGCACCACTTATTGTCACGTGGCCATACTTCTCCAGCTGCTCCTTCACTCTCTTGTAGTTGGCAGTTTTGACAAAGACGTCTTTCACTCGTTTCAGGTTGATCTCAAATAAATCTGAAGACAGAAAATGGTTTATAGTAGGGCATTGTGCACATTGGGTTAAAAGCACCAAACTTGGCACACTTTTACATTGAACCATTCTGAACATTTCTGGATATGGGTCCTTCTCAGCAGCGACCTGGTGGTAGAAACCCGAAGATGGTCGCCAACATGGCTGAAATCACTTATGGTGACAATCTATACTCAATATATCATACTTATCTGGTCAATATTAGTCATTTATTCAGGATATAGTATCTAGTGCCCACTTGTGGCGACGAAAACCCAAGGTTGCCGTTAAAATGCCTCAATCTTCAGAAATTGTCAAATGTTTGTTCACAGTGTCAGTATCATTTATTCATTCATATAATTTTGGATCAAAACAATTCCAAGTAATGTTTTACTGAATGTAATAGTTTTTGATACCAAAATGCATTCAGTTGAAGCAAGGTCTGCGACCTGTCGAATCTATTTGAATGCGTGGACTGGTTTATATTCTGTAACTGTAACTGGATTTTATTCTGTAACTGTAACTGGTTTATATTCTGTAACTCTGTCAGCAATTCCAGATCTGTTAGGTCACTGGCGGTTAGGTCTTTTAGGAATTTGATAATGATATTTGACCAGTACCAGTACTGAAACATGCCTGCAGTTATAATTTTGATTCTGAGTCTTTAATGCTAGCTAGAGCGGCAACAATTATCCCCAGAGATATCATAAGATTGAAATAGTCATTAAGCCTGTAAACAGCCTGTACCTGTCTCTTTGAAAGCTCTTGGCAGTGTGATATTGGATGCACAGGTATAAAGAAACAATCCTGAACAATAGATACATAGTCTCGAGCGTCCCAAACCATCTCTGAACGGCTTGTCTTCAACGTATGACAACAAGGGACTCCACAGATTCAGGGATTAAACAAGAACACGCGATCTTGTTGACACTATACATGATATGGGTTTGTGCATTCACATGATGGTGTCTTGTGTACTTCAATTGATATAGCCAACACTGTTTTGTGAAGTTTATAAAGACAAGGTGTGGTATGCCAACCAAAACTCCCAAGAGATAACATCGGTCATAATTTAAGTTCTACAACAGCAACACATTTATGAAATAATTTTATGGTACAAGCATTTCCCTAATGCAGCATCCAACAGCTAAAGGGATCGGAGGTGGAGAGGAGGGGGAGGAGGAGAACATTTAATGGCAGCCTGCAATATATACTACTGTACTCCCCCATCCTGTTTTACTAACTGGGTGAGTGAGTCCATATTTAACGTGGCATCGACATTATCACAGCCACATAACGACGAGAACAAGTTGACATAATTATAATGAGTCGTGAAAACAAAGTTATATTTGCCAAAACTGAGTCGACTGAAAACAGCGGTTGATGATAGTTACATCGATTATAATAGGATTATGTGTCACACAGGGAAAGATCATTTTACGGTACTTTGACCTCTTAGCAGGGCCTTGATAATTGCTGTTGACAAAAGCATCAACACAATTTTCTTTTAAACAACATTTTATAATTAGTTGTTCACATACATATTTCAAATTAATGATACAACCCTTTTTCTTCCAAGTAGCTTAGGATCAGATGTCCGCCCACACGGCCAAAATGTCTCAAAAGATTTACTGTTTGATAATGTGCAATGCAAAAGCCACACAATCAATCAAAATATGTTTGGTGTTGAACTTTTCCTCACCAGGGATACACTTAGGAGGTTTGTCCTCATCTTGTTTAAGTAGATATTCGTGGGTACAGCGACTGTGGCCAATACGACAAAATGACCTCATCATGTCTTGACTGACAACCCAAGTAGATATGACCGATTGTTGCTTTAAATTCGTGAAGTTAATTGATTCCTACCTGGGTGTCCAACCTGTTTTGCATAAGGTCCCGAGCATACTAACTCTTAATGGTTAGTTTGAAATCACTGTAAGGGATGAGGAGTGGCGATAATGGTTTGTCAAGAGCTGCTTTTGCTGCATTATCAGCTTTTGAATAACCTGCTATGCCTACATGACTTGGCAACCCGCAAAAGACGATGTCACATTGGCTAGTAGAAAGTTCATTGTAAAGTTCTAAAATGTCAAAGATTATAGGATGATTCGACGAGACACTTTTAAGTGCTTGAATGCAAGTGAATCTGAAAAGATGATGAAATTCGTACATTGATTTTGTGGTTTAACTCTTTCAACACCAGTCAACCAAAGGCGTTTACTGCCGTGACACCGAGACTCTTGTGTGATAGATAAATGCAACATTAATCAAAGAAACTATCTGATTGTAAAACATCTTTGCTACTACATGTTATACACCATTTGAAAGGTCTAATTCTTTTGTTTATGAATATGGTAGTTATGTTCATCACATTATTTAAATAATGCATTTACAACTTAATTAAGTTCGTTGTAAATAAAAAAGGGTAAGCTAAAACATTCATAACTGACGATTTTCTATTTCTATTTTATTTTCATTGTTTACGTAAAAAGAATTATAACATGAAGAAATACCTCCGTTTTCGAAGCTTCGTATGAATAACACGTTCGTCGAAGACTGCCAAATGACACATCGCTGGAAAGCTTATTTTTTATCTACACGGTCGTAACATCGCCTGAATGCTTTTCGTACCAATAACAGGCGATTTTATTGGATAACAATTGGTTTCTAATGATGCTTTCTAGCCGAAATCTGCTACGATGTTCGTGTTTTGTCAAATTTGAGCACGCGACCTTAGGCAGCCAATCAAATTACAGCTATGGTACCGTCCTCGTGTATGATCAATTTCAGAATTTGACGAAAGATTTTTGTTAATTCGTGTTTTTCTGCACGTTTTAAACAGGAAATCGAGATCTATATTAAAATTATGGAACTTCGTGAATGTATCGTGCTACGTTACGAGCTGTGACAAAGATGTTTCATGCATATATATTTGTATTAAACATTCTGTCCGAGCTGAAAAATCGAGTCGACGAAGCCGAGATGTCATTTGACTTACATAACACGCGGTCGCGCGAAAAGATGAAAATAATAACTTAGATGTAAGTTTGAAAACTTTTAAATATATTTGTGTTGATTTTATTTATTACTTTGTGTAATATATTTAAAGATTTGCTTTTAGTGACTAAATTTTTTATTTATCGATATGAAATGATAAATTGAAATGGAATACGCATTTCAGACATTGTGAAATGAGATAATAAGAATAAAATAATGGTATGACAGGTAGGTTAAATATATATATATACTATTTTGACTTGGCGTCTGGCGTCGTCTGGGCGTCTGGGGACTCGAGGCTTCTTTGGCCGGTGTTTCGGCCTACGGCGTTGAAAGAGTTGATGTAAGTCAAATGTGTTAAGATTGATTTGGCCCCAGCATTAATGATTGAACTATTATCTGGGATTCCTGAGAAGACAGTTTTGGATCCAATTACAGTGGCACTAATAACTTTGCCTTGGACCCGTGTGTAAACTGGATCTATGAGAATTATACTTTGCCAGTAATTGTGTTATAATCTTGTTGAGTTGTTTCGGATTATTTTAGCTAGGTGTGGCTTCACTGTCTGTCAGGGAGAAGATAGGGTGATTTACTATCTGAATGTATTTTAGCGGCAGTGATGTGTGGTTTATTCTGATTCCAAGTGGTGGAACCAGGCCTGATAATGTAGGCCATAGGCATTGGTGGTGTATTGCGTCTAATTTTCCTAATTTGCTTTTGCACGCTCCACCATAGACAATGGAACCATAACCTAGTTGTGAGCATATTAATGACCTGTACAGGTGAAGGAGGGTTGTTTCATCCCTCCAAACCCAGAATTTGAAAAGACCTTCAACAACTCGAGAGCCTTCAAGCATTTGCTTTTAGATATTTGATGTGTGGTAAGAATGTTTAGATGACGGTCAGATATGAAACTCAGGAATTTGGCCTCTTCTAGTTGGCCTTTATAGGAGTCCCATCTAACAATAGTGAGTTAAAATTTAAAGTCACCCATAAAAAAATAACGCTGGTGCTAATGCGGTTTGTATTTACGACAAAAGTGAATGCAATTAGTTTTTGATTTAGCAAAGTTAAAGCCATTTTCGTTGGCCCATTTTTGAATTTTGTTAAGACATAGTTCTAACTATCTTACTGTTATATGTTTAGTCATCAACTGCACGATCGCTTGCTGTTGAGATAGATGTATTTTTTGCCTGTAGAACACCAAGCACTGTACTACGAATTTTGTTTCGGTGGATTTGAAGCACACACAATGAAATGACCATTCTCTGCTATGGCACTAGATCAGATTCATGTACACGTCAATGCCATGGTGAAAGAAGATGGAATGACTGAAACAGCCGAGAGACGACTTCTATAGGAACACAGAAATACAAAACACTGTCACTATTTCATGCCTTCGTCTTTGCATTTTTTTGGGATGGTTGTAATATATTTTCTGAAGTCAGCAGCAATGCTTTCCCCTCACAAGCAGACTCAGATATCTCTTGACAACACAATGCAGCGTTTCGAGCGTTTTAATTTGGAGGTACAATGAAGCAAGGCAAAAATCTTTTTTCAAGAAGATTTCTGTCAATTGAAAACATTCCGCCCATGCAGGCAGCTCACAATGCGTGAAACCTACCGGGGGGCATTATTGGGGCAGGTGATTGATAAACGTTCCACACTACCGAATTCTGCAGACAGGGATTAGGAGAGGACATGTAGACTACCAAGCAGACAACACTTGGTCAGGTACAAGAACAGTGTCATGAACTTATATCCTACACCTGTAAGTCTTGAACAACGTTTGTAAAGGTTACATAGACTGCTCTGTACCACTGTGAAGGAAAGTGTTCCCAGTAACTGAAGTAATAGAAGTAAGTTGATGTCATAGGTTCAGGTTCATGGCAATAATGTCAGTATTACTTATCCATACATTCCAGTTTTTTAAAGTTGTGAATACATTTCTAAATTATTATGGGGTCATCTAATATAAAAGATACAGTCAACTTGCAATTTATCAAAAAAAAGATGCCTTCATTAATGTGTTCTCCAAACACTGCATTTTTTAAGATGCTCGGAAGTATATTTCCTTGTAAACCATTTAAGAATTTAAAGGAGCCATGATACACAATATTCATTTATACAATGGTATTTAAAAATAATATGTTTTGCTCATCACAGTAAATTTTATCAACTTATCCAAAGCCAAAAGACATAAAAAAATATCTACATCTGCAATGGAAATGGACAATTTCTGAAAATTAAGATATTTTGAAGGCCATCTTGGATTTTCATCACATCCAGAGCAGATGCATACCATATTAGAATTATATACAACAATGTTGTAATAAATCGTGACTAAATTATGATGATAATGCGTATAAATTTACCAGATAATTATTATGTATTGAGTATTTATTGATATGATTAGATATTTAAGCCATATTGGTGGCCATCTTGAATTTTCGTCACCACCAGGGTGTGCCACTGAGGTGGATCCATTTGAAACAGAAATGTTCGATTGGTTCAAAAGTGTGCCAAGTATGGTGCTTTTAAAAAGGAAGTGTACATGCAAAAAATACTTTTTTTCTTATTTGAAACAAAATGCAATTTTGGAATTAGTTAATATCACTGTTTGAAAATATACACTCATTTGCTCACAGTGAAAGTAGGAAGCTCACAATAAATGTGAAAATGTTATGTTGTTATTGGGCCTTCGTTTTCCGAGCTAAACAGGCCTGAATTATCCCCCTTAGATTATGACGTAATTGGTGCCAATTTAACTCGGTCCCTGTCTCGTCTAAACGCAAAAGCTTTCAAAGTACGAATTTACGGTAAAACAACACGGCCTACGAGTCCGACTCATTGTCTGACTGCGAAGAACTGCCATTAGACCAGAAAGAAATTGTAAGACCATAAATACTACTTTATTCCTGCGTTAAACAACTACCTTATATGTTACCGTGTTTAGGTTTTAATGTGGTATTTCATACATCAGACTTATCTGACATGCTTCGACTTTACAACGTTTGTTTACAAAAACACTCCAGTCTTGATAGGAGTGCTGTCCCTTGATCCCGTTTCCAAATAAGGACGGTACAGGATTTGGTCATAATTGTTTCTTATCAGTCGAACAACTGGCAAGCATCGCTCGCAAAACACGACAGCAAGTGTCAAAGGGAGAATCACAAACGCGAGATTCACACAACGGACCTTTCCATCCATCATCGTGAATCTTACAGTAGTTTATCCGTTATTGTCTTCTCTGTGGCGATTTTGGGAATTGAAAATAACTTATTTTAGAATATTTTTTCTTTGCATTGTACTTTGCGAGGAACCAAACAATATACCATGTTCAAATCAGTAGGCTGTGCATCTGAGACACTAGAATCAAACACCTGTACCAAAACCATGTGACGCGGCTCTTATAAAACATGATGTCGTCATAATGATTATCATTTGGCACCAATGACGTCATATTACAAGGGGCGTGGTAGAATGGGCTCGGTTCTATCAATAGGCTGGTCATGCCAAGCCCTGTGCGTAACAATTCTAGTTTCTTACATTTGCACATGTATTTTACTTTTCATAAATGTATTGCTTGGTATGTGTAACCCAACAATTGAAAAGTATATTGCCTAGAGTCCTGTGCCAGAAGGCGGTGGCTCATGGGCCAATCTGGTAACCATGACCGCTGAATTATGTATGTCTCTAAATTATTGTTATGGGCACAACCTGCTTGTTAGTAGATTTAGTAGAAAAATATAGTTATTCAAGTTACATTTGCTGGAGTATAACATCCCTGTAGCCCTGGTTTTTTACAATTTTGATATCCACTGCAATAAGATACCGTTCTTGTTGACACTCGATGGAGGGTGAGGAGAAGTTGTGCAGAAACACTTCCTTTCATTATGTCTACAAAACACTTGGGTTCGAAAAGAAAACACCAAGATGCTAGCTCATCTGATGAAGACACTGATCTACAATTAGATTCCTGGTCTCGATTCATAGTAATCGAGGCTTCTGATCATCAACCTTTGAAATTGAACCCATTTGCTATTTCTAAGGCCATCAGTGGTTGTTGTGGTACGGATGACAATGTTACCCGCCTCTGTATATGGCTCCATACTTGTGGAATGTGCCAGGAGACAGCAATCTCTAAGCCTGTTATCAATAAGCCAGTTTGCAATTGTGGACCTTGCTGTCTCGGCACACATTACATTGAACTCGTGTCGAGCCATCGTGAGAGACAGTGCCCGATGTTTGGCTGACACAAGTGAAGATGAGATTGTGACGGAACGTTCGAAACAAGGTGGTACAGCTGTCAAGCGTTTCACCAGGAACAGGATAATAACATCATCAAGACCAACACCTATCTCTTTACTTTTTCCCTTTCAAAAAATCCTAAATCTATCAATGTGATGGAGTACACCTGTTTACCAATGTTCTAATAACCCAAGACTCTTAAGTCATCCAATCCAGGTTTGACAGCACCGAATTACCTCTGTACAATAAACTGGATGCCGACAAGGGCATTCAAGTTAAAGACTTCTGCACCTAATGACAGTACCTTATGGGAAGACCAGACCTAGAGACAGGCACAGGACCTACTCGTGGGATCTTCGCCATCTACTCTAATCTCCGAAACATACACGACCTACTTAGATAAAACCTCTTTGCGGACATCCCCGACAGTCAAAAACATCTATTGAACAAAGGAATCAAACATTTTATCACAGGAAACTACCAAACAAGCGAGTTAACGGAACAATTAAAGTGACATGCGACGAACCCTAACGCATCATTCAAGATGTGCATTGCATACACAGAACAGGCCTGTCAGGACATTGGACGGCTCCTAAAGCAATTTACACTGTGTACACCAGCAACACAACAATCATCCAGAAAAACACAAAACCAAACCGACCCTGAAGCACAGCCAACAAGAAACAAGCAACAAAATATTCCATTCAGCAATAACCCAGTTGTCATCTGATGCAGTGAGCCCCACAACCTGAAACAACAGCATCAGCAAGCGACAGAGACAAGCGTTCCTTCATCCCACCTCAATCACATATTTCTGGTCTCACGATTATAACAACCCATTGTAAAATCACTGAAATAAAACCATCTTACTATATCCTGTCTTCGTTTTTACTAAATTATTACCTGACGTCATTATTCCAGCATTCTGACCTCCTAGAGACAGATTGACATCGGAGGAGTCTTGTACAATGATGCCTTTAAAGTCAGGACCTGGAATGAGTGTAAAAAGAGCAAGTGAGTCCAAATGGAAGTTGTCGTGGGGTAGTTGTTGGTGATCGAAAGTGTACGAGCTACATTGACAGATGATAACCTTATACCGATTTTGTATCGTGTGTAGTGAGTGAACATAGTACTGTGCAAGAGACATTAGGTTTATACCTATTAACATTCTACTCACCTGCAGTGATTCTGGTTGATACTGCCTGTCTCTCTCTTCTCTCGGAAACAGCCATGGCACCATTTCCAGACCGGACCTGACGCTCCACTATTTCTGTTGCTGCTACCATGTCCATAGAGAAAGTCTCACCACCATGTGTTCCTTGAGGAACGACACTAACACCAGCGTCGTGGCCAGTCTGCTGTAGCACTACGTCAGCTGATGATGGATTGTCCATTGTGAAAGTCTCACCACCATGTGTTCCTTGAGGAACGACACTCACATCATCGTCATGGCTAGTCTGCTGTAGCACAACGTCAGCTGATGATGGATTGTCCATTGTGAAAGTCTCGTCACCTTGTGTTCCTTGAGGAACGACACTAACACCAGCGTCGTGGCCAGTCTGCTGTAGCACTACGTCAGATGATGATGGATTGTCCATTGTGAAAGTCTCACCACCATGTGTTCCTTGAGGAATGACACTAACATCATCGTCATGGCTAGTCTGACGATCATCACCATGTGTTGAATCACCTTGACCAATGTCATTACTACCACCTGCACTTGTGGAAAGACTAACGTTCTCTTCCATGTTTTGTGTATCCATCACTCTGGGAAGTCTCAGTTGGGTATGTCCAAAGCCATCAATTTCGTCTTGTCTCGGACTTTCCCGGTGAGCTTATGTCTCCCTCTCAGTCTGCTTCCCCGACTGATCTGAAAAGTGAACATCAGGAACAAATAGTTTCGTTTCTTTAAACTTATCGAATATTCAAATATTATTACCTGTGAATAAATATTGCAAGTAAACGATTCCCCATGCCACAGTCTTATCACTGGGTCCGTGCAACAGCAGTCACAAAACTGTCCGAGGCAGGCGTTCTCTCTGTCTCTCTGCACAAAGGAATGACCAAACCTTGATAAGTTTCATAACAACAGCGTACGGCATTTAACTATACTGAACCGCAAAAGAAACGTCACTCCAAGTAACACTGCATGAAAAGTTGTCATTTAAATATCTGGGTAATTTTTGTCAAAGTTTCAAAAATTTAACATAACCTTGTCCGGAAAAATGAAATTTATGATGAAAAAACAAAGCAGATGACAACAAAACAGATCGCCCAAACGCATCACGGCAAGGGCCATGGTAACCTGATGCTCGTGAGTTACGTGCAAATTGAAATGCACATGCAGATTGTGCGACAGCATCTTCAAGATCGCTTTGTTACTGCTGCGGAACCTGCTCTGCAGACCATGGGACACACCAGCGACACATTAGTGAGGACACCGTGCGTCGACGATTGACGAGCAGACACCTCCACTGTCACAGGCCACACCGAGGACCCATTCTGACCCCACGTCATCGCCGGGACCGTTTAGATCTACAGTGGGCAACACAGCTCCAGCATTGGCGCCACCAGCAGTGGAGAAGAGTCCTCTTCTCAAACGGGAGCCGTTACTGTATCTCAACAGCAGATGGCAGAGAGAGAGAGAGAGAGAGTCTGACGACGCGGTGGGGAACGTAATTTGGATGCTTGTGTTGTTGAGAGGTACTGGTTGGTACCAAGGCCGACAACTGCAGCTAAACTGCGTCAGGCGTTCCTCAGAGTGTGTGCTCAAGTGCCTATGACCTTCATCAACCGCGTCATCCATTCCTTGTATCGACGTTGCACGGCAGTCATCAATGCAAATGCGGACACGCGAAATACTGACTTGTGATGCCATTTTCTCAGAGACTAGTGTTGTGTTTCACTTTTAAGAATATTTGACACTTTAATTTCAACCTTGATGATCAGTTTTGCCAAGTTCCATCTTTTCAATATGTCTCAAAGTATGTTTACAGTGCTTGAACAAATAAGGTTTCTCATATATCTATCAATGGTGACGTTTCTTTTCCGGTTGAGTATATATACAGTAGTCAAACAGCACGGCCGCTATTGCTCTTCCTCCACCATGTTCGTCCCACGGTGACGTCATACCACGCCCTAGGCCATCGATTCACGTCAGTTACTGTTTCATGTGACGCGACCATGCTTACTCTGCTTAGGTTCATGGATAACCACACACTGAACAGATAATGCAATATGACTAGTTTAGATAGTAAACTACCCATTTTATTGGTGATGCCCAAGAAATATATCCCACGTCATCCAAACATCTTACCAATAGGTAACACTGATGTGGAAGCCTGTTTGGGGGCCCGTTACCAGTTACATATAAACATATTGTAAAGGGAGTCGGCCACACTCACAAAGAACCATACCATAAAATGTTGTTCTCTTCACTTTAAGATATCGTTTACAGAATGTAAGTAGTACAGCCTCTATTGAATTACAATGACAAGTTCCCCAAAAGCAGAGAATCGGCACTATCAAACATCTTGAATAAATCAGAGCATGTTATGTTACCAATCTTTCTCTGAAAACCATTTAAAGATATGCCTAGCACCTCAAGCTTATAAAGCTTGTGTGTGAAAACTAGTCCAAGATACCGATAAAATGACACAGTTTCAACAGAGCCAACTAACCATTTCTCATATCGGCGTAGGGGGCCAACATTTCTAAAGAAAATATGTTTAGTCTTACTAAAATTTGCCTTCATTCCTGTATCATTACAAAAGTTTTCCAAAATATTTAGCTTCTTTTGGAGTTAATGACAAGTGTCAGAAGCTTCAGAAATATCATCAACAAACATTAGTGCACAGAAGTTAGAAAAGAATTGATTAATGAAAGATCCTTGTCCCCCTTCTTTTTCCATTTTCTGATAAAGTTCATTAATAAATATGGTAAGATGCAGCCCTGGCGGGTACCCAGAGAACAGTTGAAACAAGATGAAAGTCCGCATTTGGTTCCAACGCGAACTGTTAAATGAGAAGCAATGGTGTAGTATATGAAGGTATCTGTGCAGAGACGATTGACAGAGTGTGTTACCAACTGTTCATATATGATAGTGTCAGAAATACCTTGTGAAACTCTTTGTTTAAGAATTGTCCAGAACACCTTGTTTTTTTCTGTTTACTTAAATATATCTGTTTCTTTTGAATGAAAGTCCTTCTGAAAAGTTATCTTAATTTCCTAAATAGTGAAATATATGTGTTATTGTCTCTGTTTGATCTTAACGCCCTGCACTTAGGTTGTTTCAGTTGATCTAGCTTATTATCCCAACATTGTGTGTGTGTATTATATCTCTCTTTTAAAACATCACGGTATATTTTTGCTGTGTTCTTCAGCTTAATGAAACACATTTACTAAGAAGGTTATAACTGTATCTATGTTGTTGTATATCATATCAAACAAAGTGGAATGTTAGTAACAGAAGATATGGCTAAAGTTAATGATGAAGCAGTTATTCGAGTCTTTATTCCACGAAAAATTAATCCATGGTTTTTTTTCTTATTTGTCTCTGTTCCTTTCATATGAAGTGCATGTAGACAACAGGAATATGGGTGCAGATTTTGGACTTTGTTTTGTAATGTCAATGTCAAGTTAATAGTATAAAGGGAAGTGAAAGGATGTGTCTAATGCACTAACCCCAAAATTTGGTATGGAAAAAGTGATGATGAGGCAATCATATAAAGCAACCTGCTGTGTCATTGAACATAATGCCATTTAATGAAAGAATACCAAAAGAGCGACACAACTCACATTGGACATACATCTATACCCGAATGAATGCTTGGTCCACATGTATAACATACATGTTCAATTTAAAACGCTGATAGCGGTGTTTTACAATTCTGTTATCTGGTGACATTAACGTCGTGTTTCATGCCTAGATTAGTTCTGTGGACTATAATACACGTTTGGGTTGTTATCAGCTCTATTCGTGCTATATAAGGATGGGAGGCTGAGATCACTACTTAACGTCCGCCATTTTGTGCATTTGAACTTTGCTTCACAGTCCTTTCATTATTCGTAGGAATCATTTACGGCACAAGGTTTTAGTTTGATAGGCAATTTATTAAATTGTATTAAGCTAAATACACAACAGAAAAAATACATATGTAATGGCAACTGTCTGCACGGGATGACACAGGTTTCGCTAAACGCAAAGACATATTGCTGACGTTTGACAAGTTCTGACTCATCTAAGCTATTTTGATAGCAGTAAATTGTTGAATACCACTAAATAAGACCAATCTCATATTACAGAGAATACAACCTGTAAATACTGAGACAAAGAAGTACATCCTTACCTGCACAGAGCTAGGTTTCTACCTTCCTGCTCCTACCCACAATGCCTATCGCCAGGGACTTATCGTATGTAGCGTAACACAGTTACCGTGTCGCCACCTGTCCATCACATGACATGACTCATAAAGTACTAAGCCTGAAATGATAAAGAAGCTGTTTATATTTCTGGCAACCTTACAACCACGCCAACTTTCAAAAAGGTCATTTTCTTTTAACATTGTTTTTTCTTTTATTCAGCGCAATGAATCTTTATCTGTGTATACAAACCTTTCTAGCAATTTCAAAACGTGAAAGATGAAAGATAGATTTACTGAATATTTCTTTTTTAATGTAACTGTGTGTGATGATATTATTGGTAGGTCACGGTAACCTACTTTCACTAAGTAAAACATGCTTATTGTTCTAATGTTGAATTCTAATAAGAGACATTATGTTTGGTTTCTAGATAGCCCTTGGGAATGTTCTAAAAATACTTGCAACTGTTATTGAAGGCCACTCAACCATATCTTTTGGGCGCGATAAATCAAGCCGTATTGACTTAAATAGGATGAAGTTTGGTTCACATCATCATTTGGGTGTAGCGTTGAATTAGTAAGCTTTTGATGGACTATCTTTGAAGTGAAGGTCATTGAAATATGCATGTGTAAAGACGCTGTGCTCTTGTGTATACTGAGATCAGATGTTTGTGAGAGAAAGCTTCTGAAGCGGGATACACAATACAGCTTTCATTCACTGTCGTGTGTTCTATCCAAATCACCTACTCCAGATCACTTGACACAACCACTATCACCCTTTCAGACACTAGTTTGACAGTTGTGCAAGCAGGCGAACGTGTTGAAATGAATTCATGTAGCTTGGGTCATTTGCTGTCAGAAACGAGTATGCCTATGGACTGGTAATTTAGTATAGGGGAGGGAGGGGCTGTACGATTCTGAGGGAGGGGTGAAAAAAGGACACATTCGGGGTTTTTTTTAATATTTATTTTTTACATTATTTATGGACAACTAATATATACTCAACAGTAAAAGTTCCTGTGACACCAATATTTTAGTGTATTTTTCAAACAAGTAAAGTTTGGTTTTCAATATCGTAGTACATGTATGGTATCAAGTCACAAAAACGCAACTGCTACAGAAAAGCATGCATTCCATGCAAAAGTTGCAAGCCCCATGCATTTCACTACCCAAGAATGGGTATAAAAACATGTACGTTAACGGGATTCAATATGCATTGTTTAGCATCGTGCTGACAACAACCACTCAGAAAAACAACAAAATTACGCAATTATTCAACATTACGAAATGCCACGCCTGTCCGAAAATGAGCGTCTGCGAGCCATTGGTATGCTTGAAGCAGGATCGAATCAACGTGATGTTGCAAGACAATTTAACGTCCACAGAAA